CGATCGGCTCTTAAATATAATCTTATATAATTCATAGAATTTTCAAGGAGTCTAAGAATGTAATTGAAAATTCCACATGTTCAATACATGTGATCGAAACGTTTGACGTTAAACATTGAACCAATCCTTTAAACACGGACATCCTGTTTACGGCTCGTATTTGCCTTCTTTTTATTGGTTGATAATTATATTGTTCAAGTAAAAGTGCAAGTTTATCCATTTTTAGCATATATATATATATATATGTATAAATGACTGTATATATGTATATATATACAGTCAAACTTCGATAACTCGAGCCTCTATAACTCGAAAACCTATATAGAACGAAAATTTTGTTCATTTCCTTGCGTTCCGCGAAAAGGAAAAAATGAACTTCGATAAGTCGAAACCTCTACAACTCGACGATTTTAGCTCTTCCCTTGAGATGCGAGTTATTGAGGTTCGACTATATATATATATACACTGTTGCGTCGTTTTTCAAAAAAAATCTCAGTAAAACAGGACAGTTCAGCATCCTTTTAAGATACTCAGCAAACATCACATGTCAGCACGACGTGAAAGCATGTCATGTGAACAATATGTTGGTACAGTGCTGTTCAGTGATGCCACGCGTTGGCATGCTAGCAAACTGATATCATAGCATGCTAAAAATGATGAGATAAGTGACGACAGAGGTTGCCATTTTTCAATTTGACGCGCATTTCGCTTGCACAAAGCTCGCATAGAGTATTGAGCGTAACGTATTGTCGCGATGCTTGCTAGATGAACTTGCATCTGGCAGTCACAGAAACATCACGCTATGAAAGCATGCTTGCATGATGTCGACACGGTGCCACCATTTTGTTTGCTGGGTATGTTTATGCGAGCAATAACTATATGCCAGTAACTTACAAATTGTTAACTTATGCCATAAATTTCGACATTCTAGTTTGTGCTTGTTTTGCCCATAGACATATAAGAAATAGACTGCGCGTTCCATACACAGACTTATATAATAGACGGAGCATTTGTATAAGAGGAGCTGAAGACTTCATTAAAAGAGATAGAAATAGTCGTAGAGCAGTTCTCTTTTTTTCTAGCAGTGAGTTGATTGGTGGCTGCGGCAGGCCAAAGAAATGGCCGAGAGCAATGAAGATAGAGTCCGAGAATTAGTTGATAATGAAAGGTGATAGCATAGACTTGTGAGATGATTGGTCTCCCTCTCTTATTGTAAGAAAGAGAGACAATCACTCCAGCACTATTTCTATCTTTTAATGTTGTCTTCAACTTCCTCATATGAATGCTCCGTCTATTATATAAGTCTATGGTTCCGTATCTTCTCCGTGGAGAAGGACTGATCAAATCTTAGACAAGGATAGATGTTTTCACTCGTCTCTATTCTTGTTTAGTGACGCGGATAAAAAAAGTAGGAATAAGAAAGCGTAGTGAGGCGATAGCGTCGAGCGATAAAGGGACGACAGTAGTCGATTGTAGTGTTATCTGAGATGTCTCTCGAGTGAAGAACCCCCATTCCAGATGCTGAAAGACAGAGACAGAGACACGAGTGAAAGCATCTGTCTCGCTTTGAGGTCTGACTCACTTCTCCTCTCACACGCGCAGTCTATTTCTTATATGTCTATGGTTTTGCCACATGCTGAAAATCATAGACATATTAACTTAAAGACTGATCTTCTTACGTTTATACGATACTAAAGTTATTAATTGTATGTCTGTCCATAGTTTTGTCTTTATTTATTCGCAATTTTTCTAAAATTCCACATTTTCTTTTACTAATGCTTGCCGTATTTCTTTAAGAGGATGCTAAAGCGACAAGTCAAACTCGGATTTGATAGCCGCTTAGCCGCTACACTGTCCAGTAAGTAGCGCCCTCCAATAGTCAAACCGAGACGGATAGATGACAGGAAGTTTTCCAGCTATGTACACAGGCGACACTGTGTAACACAATGTCCATTAGTGTGAGAAAGAGCATATCAGTGTGTCTCACTCACACTAGTGGACACTGTTGCACAGTGTTGCCTGTGTATATAGCTGCCATAGCTGAAAAGCTCCCATAATAAAGTTAGACATATCTGATATTTGATGCTTTTGCAGTGTGTTGTATTAACATTTGAAAATGTTTTTTGAGTTTAAACCACGTTAATGTCATTTTTATATCGACGTTTCGTGAACTTTTCAGCTCACTTTATCAGGGTGATAAGTATTATACTGATAAGTATCAGGCTGCTTTTGAAACCCTAATGGGGTTTCCCTGGGGAAATATAAGCTGATAATGTTCACAAAACGTCGGTATAAAAATGACACTAACGCTATTCAAACCCGAAAAACATCTTCGAAGTTAGACATATGTGTCTTTTCGACGGTTCTGCTAAAACTGTACTAATCCTAGTTCCAAATTTCTGTTTCTTACAAGCTTCAAAATCTTTTTCTAAAACGTTCAAAATATTTGTTTATGTCTATAGGATGGAAAACTATAAACTTTTGTTTGGAATCATTTACTAATTTTGCATACGAAGTGAAAATATAGTCCACTTAGTAACGGTTTTTAACTTTTTTTCGTTTTTCTTGTATTTTTCGAGTTTTCCAGTTTTTAGTATATTTTCTTTTATTCTAGAGAAGCGCTTTTCATTCCGACCAATGAATTGTACGGTGTCGAATCGTACGATGTTGAATAAATCGGTGTTGGATAAGTTGGTGTCGAATAATTTGGTGTCGAATTGTACGGAATCGAATAATTTTGTGCCCAATAAATTTGTGCCCTGATAGGAAACCATTTACAAAATTATGTGACGAAATCTTGCACTAAAATTGTTATTTGCAATTATACAGACATATTTTAGGAAATAGATGTAAAAACATTGATCTTTTCTGAAATATTTGTAGTTGTTTGCAAAATTAATTTCCAAATACTATTTCGGCAAAAGAATAACGATATGGCGAATCATCTTAGCAGTATATTTGCAAAATTAATTTCACAAAGAAATTGTCTAATAATTGAGAAAAGAAATTCAGCTATGTGATGTTTCAAATATGTAGAAATATGATTGCATATGAAGAAATGCAAGAAATCGTCGACACTCATGATGTCATATTTGTGCAATATTTTCACAATTTGCCTATTGGAGATATATACTGTGGAAATGCATAACGACTTTTTTGCAATTTTTGACAAATATTATTTACAAAATTTTATTTTGACAAAACTGTTGCGTTATGGCGAATCATTTTAGTGCAATCATTGCAAAATCGTCACCATTTATGATGCCATTTTTGTGCAATATTTTCACAAATGTGCCTATTAGAGTGTCGAATAATTTTGTGTCCAATAATTTGGTGTCGAATTGTACTGTGGTCAAACGGAACACACCCAATTTTAACAGAAGCGCTGGCGAGACACATACCGCACGATCTAAGTTATTAATACCGCTAATAGAGAATAAGATAAGATGCCACAAGCTGTACCGCAGCACAGGAATAACGTGAAATAGCATACGCAGAAAAACGAACAAGTAAAGATTAAAAGAATATCAAATATCACGTACAAACTCAGTAAGTTAGTAGCGTCTACGCCAATGTACTTACTTGATTTGAGAGGTAGCGCTGTATTTGCTGGTGCTCCGAGTCACGCTGGACTCTCATTCGTCGCACAAAGCTTTCAACATTCCAAAGTACTTAACTTAAAAGGCTAAAACAACGGCTAAAGTCCGATTCAGCTGTTACTTAGTCGCTACGTTGTCCAGTAAGTGGTGCCCTCAGTCGAACCGAGACAAGGATAGACGTATGTGTCCGGCGCTTCTGTTAAAATTGTACTAATCGTAGTTTCAAGATTTCTTTTCTCACAAAGCTTCAAAATTCTTTTTAAAGCACTCAAAATGTTTAGTTTCTGCTGAAAATATTGGTTTTGGATTTATATGGCTAGGTTTGTAATATAAAGCAAAAATGTAGTCTCTGTAATAACAGTCTATAAACTTTTTTTCGTTTTTTTTATATTCTTATGCAAGTCTTTAGTATATTCTTTTTTTCTGGAGAAGCATTTTTCATTCCGATTAATAGTTTTTACAAAAAATTGGAATTACGAAATGTGAGTAAAACAGGACAGTTCTTCTTAAGTGAGTAAGTTTTTTTCTTGTCTGTGGTGTATATTTCGTGAAACACTGTTGTTTAGTGTCAAATCCCGTTTGGAACAGAGCGGCGTAGGATATCGCACTCAAGATCGAAAAATCATTACAATATGTTGTACACATATATTTATATATTTATATATATGTTGAATAAGTGGATAAATTATCATATAAGGTCAACTCCTTTAAAACTCAATGACTATGACATATATTGTTAAGGATATATTTACAAGTTTTAGCCATCGCTTGATTGTTAAAAAGTTATTCATACAAAATATAAAAACCTTATGCAGAAAGTTACAAATCCATGTGAAACCTTATTTCGCGGAAAAAGTATATGCGTGGAAGCAGTGTGTTCCTCTTCTCTATAGGATTCACTATCAAAAAACTGGACACATAGGTGTGAATTGAATCTTGCTGTGCGTAGAAAGTGTATGTGTATTTCGAGAAAATACATTGTCTTACGCATGGGTTTGAAACTTACCACACTTTTTAATTTTTTCCAAACACTATTTATATCATCTCAATTTATGTATAATCAGTGAATACTAATGTTTTATTATCAATGCCCTATATATTTTTGTATTACTTCATCATAAGACTGTGTATATAAAAATATGTAATTTTGTATAATATTACAAATTGTACAATATTACAAATATTAAATAAGAAAAATGTTGGATTTTTAAGTTCTTTTGTGTAGTTATTTTTTTTATGAATAACTTTTTAACAAACAACAGATAAAACAAATAAAACTTTTTTGTTATTACTTGGAAATATATCTTTAACAATATATTCAATGATTTTTGAAAGGATGAACCTGTGAATATATACCGATTTAATATTGCTAATATTAACTGGACTTGATTATAATTACAGGACGGTACTATAAATGAAAGAGACATTCAGAATTTGGATGAAGTTGCATCAGCCAATCAGTTACGCATGAACAGGGATCCTTTCGATTTGATGCTCACGAATATGGGATACAGATTGCCATATGAGTTTAATGCCGATGATGCTGAAGATCAACAAGAACAAGAGATAGCTTGGAATTGTAGACCAAGCTAAATATTATAAGATATATAAAATGGGATAGTGATTGAATATTTGGAAATTTAGCTATATTTATATGTCCATACCTACAGATACATACACATACACAGTATATTACATATTTTACACTATACTAATGTTGCGAATGAAAACTTAAGAGATAAAGCGATAATCTCTAACTATGTTATCAACTTGCAGACATATACTGCAACTTTTAACATGCGAGTCTTTAGTGTAAACAAAATGTATCACAAAATAGTTGCGCAATGATGTTAACAATAACGTAATTGTTGTTATAAGTTATAGAATAAAGAAGTTGGATAAATTTTGGATTTAACATTAAGATACACATTGAAGGGGGGAGGAAGAAGGAAGGAGAGAGAGGGGGAGGAAGGGAGGGAGGGGGAGAGAGGGAGGGAGGGAGAGAGAGAGAGAGAACGATCGCTTTATTTCTCGAGTTTTTAATATTAATTACATCACTTTTTGTCTTTCTTTATTATACATACATACATACACATACACATATATACACACAATACGAATATATCATACTTTATTTATTTTTGTACCAATATATCTTGAAGCATTTTTGTTGTGTAATAATCTGTTAAACAAAAAATAAAAAAATAAAAAAAATCTTTGTGAGAAGGCAAATAAGATAATTTTATTTGCTAGTACATTGTAGATATATTGTTAAAGATTATATATGTAAGTTAAATTATATTCTTATCTCTCAGAATTATAATATAATTCTGAGAGTTATATACTATATATTTAATAGAATACTATGATTTGGTGTTTTTGTGTAATATATATATATGTATATATATATATATATATATAATAATATATATATATATATATATATTGTTACGTCCTGGGGACTCCACGGGCCCCTTTTTCTTGCAACGTGACGCGCCGACATACAATAAATTCCGTTTTTTCTCAATAAATAACATGAATGGACT